CAAAGAAGTAATTACTGATAGCTATAATCCTGGGCAATATGAGGTCTTGTAGGAGAAATAATTGCAGATATCCATAACACTAGGCCATATGACAAGAGCTATGTAAATGATTAGGAAGGAAGGAAGGAAGAGAGAGAGAGAGAGAGAAAGAGAGAGAGAACGGAAAGAAAGAAAGAAAGAGAGAAAGAAAGAAAAAGAAAAGAAAAGAAAAAAAGGTCACGGGTGGTTCCCAGCATCCCTATGGGTCCTTAGGGTTTCTCCTCTCCCTCTGGGGTAAAAGAACAACTAAGGCTTTCCTTCTAAGCACCGTTATTAATAAGACCAACCTCATTTTCCTGGGGCCTCAGTGCATCCCTGATAATTGTATTACAACCAATTGTGATAATGTAAACCCTCAATTCTAACTGGGTGTTTCTTTGTTCAAATGCTCCTCTTCCTCCTCCAGAGCACCCCTCCCCATTTTTCTCATCGTCTCCCATGGTGTGGATGACAAAGCTCTTTGCCTACAGCTATCACTAGGCACCCCAGAAGGGAACCCAAAGGTCCTGAAATATAAGACCTCACAGTCTAGGAACCCTACAGTCAAGACCTAGAGCTGTTATCATTCATTCATTCACTCCTTCCCTCCTTTTTTCTTCCTGCATTGGATGCTTGCTATGGAGTAGGTTCCAGGCTAGGCTCTGAGGACATGGAACTTGTCAACCAGGAGATCCGGGTCTGTGGGGTCAGAGGCATGTACACAGTTACAGTAGAGAAAATCATGGCTTCCATGGGGCCATGCAAAGCAAGCTTTGGCCATGTGTTTGACGATCCATTCGGACTCTGTCACATGTGTGCTTTCAGGGCTGCTGGAGCCAGACCACCACCTCTCCCGTACTTAGAACTGGTTTCGACGCCTCCCTCTTCCCTGCTCCTCAAATCCAGTCGGTGCCAGGTTCTGTTAACTCTGTCCCTGAGAGCTTTTTTACCTTCTCCTTCAGAACTGATGGCCCCTGCCTACGTTTTAGATGCAGCCTAAAGATCAAGGCAGGAGCCTCCTAGCTCTTCCCTCCCCTCTTACAGGGCCATGAAGGGGGGGCCCTGCACATACAGTGACCCTGCTTGACTGCTGCTGCCAGGCTCATCTTCCTCAAATAAGCTGTCCAGAAATTTCCACATGTTCTGTTTTCTCCTCAGTAAAGAAAATTGAGCCTGGTTTGGCCTTCAAAGCTCTAGCACCAACTAGCCCCCACCTTCCTTCCCCACTTTCTTTTTCTTTTTTTTTTTTAAAGATTTTATTTATTTATTTGACAGAGAGAGAGAGACAGCGAGAGCAGGAACACAAGCAGGGGGAATGGGAGAGGGAGAAGCAGGCTTCTTGCCGAGCAGGGAGCCCGATGTGGGACTCGATCCCAGGACCCTGGGATCATGACCTGAGCCGAAGGCAGACGCTTAACGACTGAGCCACCCAGGCGCCCCCCACTTTATTTTTCACTCTTCCCCTTTCCTTCCCCTGCCCCATGCTTTAGCCAAACCTAGTAAACACTTCTTGCAGTCCCTATAACCCAGACAATCCTGCTGCCTTCCTATTCCCATAAATCCAGTTCTTACCTATTTCTGCAGGACCAGCTCATTTATCTTCGCTTTCAGGAAGCCCTTCCTGATTGCTCCACTTGAACATGATCTGTCCCCTTTCCAGGAAAGGTCTTATTATCCAGTCCTGTCCCACTGCATAATTTCCCTTTGCATGCACACCTTCTCTCCTACAAGATAATCAGGTCCCTGCTTATTCTTCTATTTGGCACATGGTAACAGGCCAGATTCACAAGTGCTTAATAAGTATTTATTGGGTTAATGAGCGAATAGTAAGTATTTGTAACACACTGGTTGCTGTATATGTTTCTCTTTAGCTTTTTTGTTTCTCTCTCCCCTGTATCCCAACTGGGGCCCCTCCCAGCTTTCAGTCTAATTGCCCCTTCTGGACACATTCCCTGCTCCTCCCTCTCTGTGGTTCTCTCCCAGCCATACTGTCTTGCAGGTGGGACAGGAAGGCGGCTGGCCTGACCCTCAGTGACCTCTTTCCTCCCCTCTCTCTAAATGCAGGCTCAGAGGAGGAGATTGAGGAGCTGTGTGAACAGGCTGTGTGAGATGCTCAGACCTAGCTCCAACCAAGAGCATGCTTCGGATGACTCGGGCCCTACCTGGCACAGAGTCCTGCTCCTGAGAGAAGAAAGGACCTCAGAAAACAGCCCTCTTTTTTTGCCAGACTCCCTGGAACCTCCAGAAGAGGAGTGGTGATGGTGGGTGGCAGGTGTTCCCTGCTCCCAGCTCTGGACCTTGTGTGCAGAATGCATCTGCAGGGCGGCAAGTCTGTGTCCAGCCAGGCAACCAGCTGCTACCTATGTGGGCTGGCTCCCTTAAAGGCTGTTTTTTGAGAACAGGAAGCTAGATATGGGTAGACAGGTGTTATAAAGGTGCTGCTCCTTTCCCCAGGCCCAGCAGGCCTTCCTCATCCCAAGTCTCATGTGCATACCTGCCAATGGGTCCTTCTTACCTCCTTTCTTGGGTGAGTCCTGCACACCAGCTTTGACTCCTCGGTAAAGCTGCCGCATCAGCAGCAACCCCAGCTTTTATCATTTCCCTTCTTTGCAAAAGGATCGGGAACATAGGTGAGCCCTGAGCCCTAAAAAGGGAGGCTCTGCAGCTTCTCCAGGCAGTACCTGCCCTGGTGCATAAGGGAGAATGTTTTTCCCTTCTTGTCCTTAATTGTCAGATCCACTATATTAAGTCAGAGGGGAGGCTCTGGGAAGCCAGGGTGTGGAGTTCTGTCCCTAAAGTGGTACTGCGCCCTGAAGAACCTGGGATGACGCCTCCGACTTTCAAACTCCCTCGTCACTCCAGCAGCCCCAGTTCCTCTGGGGGTTGGGGGTGGGGATAGTGGGGAGGGAATAATTCTTTCCTGGAGATTACCCAAAGTCCTAAAGTAGGTGGAAAGAAGAGGATTTCTGCTGGACTGCATCTAGAAGAGGGAGGATGGAATGAAGGTAGAAAAGACAGAATTACAGCTGAACAAGGACAACAACGAATTCTTCTCTGGGAGTTTTCTGTCAGAGCAGGGATGAGGAACGGGAAAACACAGGAAAAGCAAAGTGGGACATTTGGGTTTAGATGGCTCCAAGGCCCAGCTTCCCATGATAAGCCATACAGGCCAGGGACACCCAGGAAGGTGTGCATGCAAGAGGTTGTGCATGCAGGACATCTGGCCCAGGTAGCTGGTACCCGAGTGGGCAAGGGCTGAGGAGCCTCCTGAGGGTAACATTCACCCCAGGGCAGCTGGACTATTGCCGGCTCCTCAGGCATTATCCCATTTGGAATGTGAATGTGGGAGCTAAGTGGGCACAGGACCCTACCTGGGAAACTTCTTCCCTCAAAGTCAGTGGGGAACTAGCACCTAGGCACCCACATGGGTATTTATATCTGAACCAGACAGAAAGACGCTTGAATCAGGCACTATGTTGAGAAATGTATTTATTTGCTAATATATTTATCCATAAATGAGGTCTGGTCTCGTGGTTTTGTTCCGTCACGACGGTCACTCAGGGTAACAGCTTCATCTTCTACATTTGACAGAAATAAGTTATTTCCGATATCAGAAGTTAGGCTCTGATTTATGAAAGGATAGGACAGAGTGGTGGGCTAGGCAACAAGAATTGGTTTTTAAGCCCCTGAAAGCACGGTTTAGTGACATCAGGGAAGGGCGAAAGCATGACTGGATTCTGTGGTCCAGTCGTTATCTGTATTATTCTACCTTTTACTTCACACTCTTATTTGTGATGCTTCGGTGACTTTGTGACCTTTGGTAAATACTCTATGCCTCACTTTTTCCACCCATAAAATAGACCTACTTCACAGAGTTGTTGCAGGGCTCCCCTGAGAGAAGAGTGAAAGCATGTTTGGAGGTGGAAAGTATCCAGTGCTGGAGAACATTCTAACCCCAGTCACAGAGCCCATGTGAACACAGCATGGCATGGGCACAAGAAGCAGGCCCCCCTTGAAGAAGCTCTGTTTCAGTTGGGAGGCCCGGTTGGGAGGATAGAACAGCAGGGCCTGAAACTATCTATTTATATCCCAGAGCTCCAATTCTGATAAACACCAATGACCGTGCTCTGCCTACTCGTGGGACTACTGTGAGGATCAAGAGCTGGTGCTAAGTTGGTATGAATTCCACAGAGCCTGGGGCAGTCTTTGCTCCCATCCTCACAAAGCACATTTTCCCTTCTTCTCCACGAAAGGTTTCGTAGGGGTGGTCATTGTCCGTTGCCCAGTTTTGAACCACAGAGCAAAGAAGCATCTAGCTTTCTACAAGGTGAAAAAAAAAAAAAAGACATACTCTCCTATCCCCTACAGATGTTCTCAAGTAAAGGAACTGTCTAAACGCTAAACGCTGCACAATGCCTAAATAATCAGCTGGAACAAGGAAAGTACGTAAAGAGTTTTAAAAAATAATCAAATACGCCTGTTACGCGCCACCGGCCCACAAGCCCGCATTCCGGCGGACGGCAAATGGAAACCCTATTCCGCTCTCAGGAACAAAGGGGCTGTTCCTGATTTTTTTCCCTCTCGGCAGAGATAACCCAGAGGGAGACAGTGGACTCTCTGGCCCTGCGCTTTTAAAACGGCAAGACAAAAAAGAATCTCGGCTGGCATCTGGGATCCTCCTAAGAGGACCGGCGGCCGGTTGCCAGCGGCCTACATCAAACGGCCCGCCCCGCCGGGCTTCCGGCTCCGGCCGCGGCGCGTTCTCGCGCAGGCGCCATCCGCGCCGCCCCTCCCCCACGGGCCCTGCCCACAGGCCCAACGGCCACCACGGCCTCGCCCTCGCGCCGGCCCAGGTGGCGGGTGCGCGCGCCGGCCCAGGTGACTCCCGGCCGGCCCCGCCTCCAGGCGGGAGAAACCATCTCCTTAGGCGGGGGGGGGTGTGTGGGAAGGGAGGGCTGGGCCCTGTGGCTTCCCACACCGGAAGAGGAAGTACTAGGCACCGGAAGTGGAAGACATTCTGGGTAATTCGCTGTTTACTTCCTGCGGCTGAGGAATCCGTGGCTCCGTCCTTTGCTGTTCTTTTGTCGGAGAGGATGGCCCTGGAGACGGTGCCGAAGGACCTGCGGCATCTGCGGGCTTGTTTGCTGTGTTCGCTGGTCAAGGTGTCCTTCTGGGAGCTGGTTGTAGGGGCGATGGGGGAATCCAGGTGGGGGAAAAGGTGGAACGGGGCTGGGGGATAGCGAAGAGAAAATTAAGGCCCAGGACCCCGGGTTTGGCGAGGGGTGTGGGAAGCTGCTGGGGGCCATTGTTTAAGTCTGTAGGAGCGCAGGCAGTCTTTACATGCCTTTGAATCCTCAGCTAGCACAGGTCTGATCCTTAACAGACGTTCAGCGAACTTCTGTTGAAGCCGAAGGCCACTGGGAGTCAGATGAGGGTGGGGATCTGCAGCTGAGGGGAAGTAGTCGGAGAGGATGCCTGGCCCTGAGGAGACTAGGGAGAGGACTAGGTAAAACGCAGTTAGGAACGAGAGGGAGGACTGTGAGGGTGGGTGGAACTTTAGGAATGGAGCTGTGGGAGTGGTGCGTGGGGAACCTGATGAGACAGAGCCAGCATAGGGAGCCTTCTACTTGACCAGGTAGAAATATGGAGAGAGCTAGTTATTCTTTTGGCCTTGTTTACACTCACCCCTACCCCCCTTTTCCCCCCCTCCCAGACTATAGACCAGTTTGAATATGATGGTTGTGACAATTGTGATGCATACCTTCAGATGAAGGGTAACCGGGAGATGGTATATGACTGCACCAGCTCTTCCTTTGACGGGTAAGCCCCTTTAGATTCCTTCATTCACTTTCCCGTTACTCCCACCCCACCCCACCCCACCTAGTAAATGTGAGGCAGACCACGATCCTGGTTGTTCTCAGTTATTTTGAGACACACTAGTCCTGGTGCTGTCCAGTACAGTAGCCACTGGCCATGTCTGGCATTGAGCACTTGAAATGTGGCTAGTCCAAACTGAGTTATGCTCTAACTGTAAAATATACACTAGATTGACAAGATTTAGAACAGGAAAAAGAATGTAAAATACTTTAATTTTTTTAATATTAATTATATACCTAGATGATAATTCTTTGGGTACACTGGGTTAAATGAATATGTTATTGAAATTAATTTCATCCTTTTGTCTTTACTCATAAACGTGGCTACTAGAAAATTTTAAATGGGTGGTTTTTATTTTATTTCTGCTGGACAGTTCTTCATTAGACTGTCAGCTCATTAATGGTAGGGACTGTGTTTATCTTGTGCACACTGGTTTGGCACAGGGCCTGGAAGGTGGCAGAGGGCTAGGAAATGTTTGTTAAATGCATGAAGATCCTTTCTGAAAGTGAAGGTAAGGTAAGGTACAGTAATGGTAAATTATTACCTGAAAGCTGATGCTGTTAGATATTTCTCAGAGACCCCATAAGAAAAGTTTTCCCTTGGTGAGATTGTCCAATGGGGAGAAAGAGAAATGAGAGTAACATAAGTGACCAGGTCTCAGTTTTTTTTCCCCAACATAGGAGCCAGAGGGTAGTATTCTTTGGGGGTTAAGGAGATACTGTGTCTTTTGGCCTCTAGGCCAATTAAGGGTTTACACACAGGGGTGCCTGGGTGGCTTAGTCAGTTAAGTGTCCAATTCTTGATTTCAGTTCAGGTTATGATCTCAGGGTAGTGAGATTGAGCCCCATGTTGGGCTCCAGGCTCAGCAGGAAGTCTGATTGAGATTCTCTCCCTCTCCCCCTCCCCCTGCACGCTCTTTCTCTCTCTCAAATAAATAAATCTTTTTTAAAAAAGATTTACACACAAACTGGGCTCAAACCCAGTACTTAGTAAACTTCCTTCAAGGTGAGGCCACCTACATCCATTCCTTCTTTGACTTCCTTTAAGGAAGAATGAAGGATTGGGCAAAAAAGATGTTGCCAAGGAACCTTACTTCCTACACATGCATGTGCACAGTCAGATACTCCAGTGCCTTTGTTGATTTGTTAGCACTGTAACAAAATTGCTAACAAATGAATAAAGGGACTCCCATCTATGGTAAACGACTGTGTTGGCTGCTGTCAGGGATGTCAAGAGTTACACAGTGATGTACTTACTAGTAAGAGACACAGTGTAAAGTTTTGCATATTAGAGTTTTAAAAAAAATTGTGGCAAAATATGTGTGACAGAAAATTAACTTTTTAAAAAATTTTTATTTATTTGAGAGACAGAGAGAGCACAAGCAGGGCGGAGGGAGAGGGAGAAGCACACTCTCCACTGAGCAGGGAGCCTGACATGGGGCTCGATCCCAGGACCCTGGGATCATGACCTGAGCCGAAGGCAGACGCTTAACTGACTGAGCCACTCAGGCGCCCCTGAAAATTTGCCATTTTTAAGTGTAGAATTCAGTGGTATTTAGTATATTCACATTGTGCAGCCATCACTACCATCCATCTCCAGAACTCTCTTCATCTTATTTTCCCCTCCCCACTGCCCCTGGCAGCTACCATTCTACTTTCTTTCTGTATGAATTTCTTGTGGTTTTTGTTTTATTTTGTTTAAGATTTTATTTATTTATTTGACAGAGAGCGAGAGAGCACAAGCAGTGGGAGTGGCAGAGGGAGAAGCTGAGGAGGGAGCCCAACATGGGGCCGGATCCTAGGACCCTGGGATCACGACCTGAGCCAAAGGCAGATGCTTAACCGACTGAGCCACCTGGCACCCAGGGGCCCCTCTTGCTGTATGAATTTGAAGTGTACTATAAGTGCTTCATATAAGTGGACTCAAACAATATTTGTCCTTTTGTGCCTGGCTCGTTTAATTTACCATCACGTCTTTAAGGTTTATCCATATTGTCACATGCGTCCAAATTTTTCTTTTAAGCTGAATAATCATTTATCCACTCACCTGTCGATAGACTCTTAGGTTGCTTCTATCTTTTGGCTGTTAGGAATAATGCTGCTGTGAACACAGGTTTTACCAATATTTGATCAAGTCCCTGCTTTCACTTCTTTAGGGTATATATCTAGAAGTGGAATTGCTGAGTCATTCTGTTTAATATTTAGGGGAACTGCCATACTGTTTTTCATAGTGGCAGCACTGTTTTCTGTTCCCACCAGCAGTATGCAGGGGTTCCAGTTTCTCCACACCCCTGCCAGCGCTCGTTATTTTTTGTTTTATGTTTTGTTTTGGTTTTGATAGTAGCTACCCTATTGGACATGAAGTGGTATTGTTTTGGTTTTGATCACCTTTCCCTAATGATTAGTGATGTTAAGCATCTTTTTATGTGCTTATTGACCATTTGTGTATCTTCTTCAGAAAAATGTCTGTTCAAATCCTTTGCCCACTTTCAGAGTAGGTTATTTGACTTTCTGTTGTTGAGTTCTAAGAGTTATTTGTGTATTCTGGTGGATATTAGATTTTGGAGAATGGGTATATCAAGGGCTAAAGGAGACCAGAGGAGGGCCAGATGAACTCAGCTAGAAGCAGAGGAGATACCATGTGAATCAGGCTCTGAAAGAAAGAAGTACAGGATTTTTGAGGAGGTTGAGGTGAGAGAGCATTTTAGAAAAAGGATTCTAAACAAGGAAATGACTTGAGTAGAGTCATGGGGTGGGAAGACCAGGCTATGTCTGGAGGTTGGTAGGGATTCTGTTGAGGTTAAATCATAAGGTTGGGTGACAGGCACTATAAGGCTAGAAAGATTGCTTGTGAAGAACAGAAGAGACCATACTGTTGGTCCAGACAACAGCCTGTGTGTGTGCCTGCCCCCGGTCAGTCTGCCAGGCCAGGGCAGGGGTTCCCCTACTTAACCACCGGGGAGGGTGGGGGCAGTTCCACTCCCAGCAGATGGCTGAGAATGTAGGATTTGGATGGGGAGGGAGGCTCCCCAAGTAAGAATCCCAGGTTGTTGCCAGGAGAAGAGGGAGTGGTTATTGACAGAAGTCGGTGTCTGGGACAGACCTGTCACGGCAGGCAGGCAAGCATTTGATTGAATGAATGACAGAAATGTCCTCTGTCGTTTCTGAAAGTTCCTGACGTTGACCTGTCAAGCTCTAGTGGCAGCCTTCTAGCCCTCACGGGGCCTTTCTGTTGCCCGTGCCTTGGGATCAGAGCTCTCCTGGGAAGAACTACTAAGATATAAGTAAGGACAGCGAATGCTTACGTAGCTAGCACTTACTCTGTGCCAGGTGTTTGGCATGTATTAGCTCAGTATTTGAGTTTCATTCCGCACAGTTCTGAGAGAGGTCTCCATGCGTGCGTTAGGCTGTACACTCATCAGAGGCAGGCCTTGGCCAAGTCTGACTGAGTTCTGGTAGGAGGACCCATGGTTTCCTTCACCCTCCTCCTCTCCCTTTGCACCAGGGCCCAGCCCCCTATGGTCGTGTTGCTTGTAATTAGTAACACTGGCCATCTACTTTTTTTTTAAAGATTTTATTTATTCATTTGAGACACAGAGATACAGAGAGAGAGCATGAGCAGGGAGAGAGGCAGAGGGAGAAGGAGAAGCAGGGTCCCTGCTGAGCCAGGAGCCCGATGTGGGGCTCGATCCCAGGACCCTGGAATCATGACCTGAGAGAAGGCAGACGCTTAACCATCTGAGCCACCCAGGCGCCCCTGGCCATCTACTTTTTTTTTTTTTTTTT